CACCTGCTCCCATAAGTAACTGTGATTCTGACGTTTATCGCCATAGATCAACTTGCCTATTCTTGAACTTTTCCTATGAATGAAATCATCATGCATCCTCCCCTTTTCTTGTTTTACAGGACATCATTTTCTTTTGAGATCCATCCACATGGTGTATCTGTAGTGTGTTCCTTTTTCCTTGCTGTGTAGTATTCTGTTGTATGCATATGCATAAATTGGTTGAATCATAAGCACCCAACAGCTTCTGAATCAACTTCTTTCTCTCCTGACATCTCTGTCTTTCAGTCCTTCAGTGGAAGCTATCATGTGAGCTCCTGGCAACCAGCTCTGTGTCTGTTTTGTTCACTGTTGTACTCTCAGTGCCCAGGACAGAGTGTGCCATATAGCAGGTGCCCAGTGTGTGTATATGAACGAATGAATGAACTAGTGTTCAGAACACATCGTTTTCATTGTGTTCTATTCTAGTCCTGTGTATACTTCCCCATTCAAATCACAACTACAGGATTCTCAGGACAATCTCTTTGCCCACAAACTTACATGAATTTCGAGGCCCACTGATCACACTCAAGCTCTCTCTATAAGAGCTTTCCAAACCTCTAGACCAGGCGAAGTCCCTTTACAGCCCCATAATTACCTCTGTCACTCCCATCATGACCCTCATTGCACATTATTGTCATTGCTGCTCTCATTGGCTGCCCTACCCTCTGACTCCTCTATTTCTTTCCACCTGTATTTCTTTTCACCACTAAATTCCACACTCAGCACTCTGGCCCATGAGAAGCACAGGGTACGTACTGGGTAGGCTTCTTACAGAGGGACTTTCTCTCTGCGAGATTGTTCCTCTCAAGTCCACAGCCATTACACAAAGTCCTTGTGAAGAGAGAGTGGATTTGAGAACATGCCCTCTGCTAAGGATCGAATGTTTGTGCCTTCCCCCGCGCCCAATTCATCTGTTGATGTTTTAACCCCTCATGTGATTGTACTAGGAAGGGGTGCCTTAGAAAGGTGATGAGGTTTAGATGTGGTCATGGGGGGTGGAGCCCCCATTATGTGATTAGTGCCATTATGAGAAGAGGAAGAGACTAGAGATCTCTTTCTTTCCACTGTGTGAGGACACAGCAAGAAGACGGCAGTCTGCAAACCCAGAAGAGGGTTCTCACCACAAACTGAATTGGCAAGCACTTTGATCGTGGGCTCCCCACCCCCCAGCCTCTGTTGTTCAATCTGCCCAGTCTGTGGTGTGTGCAATGGCCACCCACGCTGCTCAGACATCCTCTGTGGATGATTTCTACTTAGGAGATAACAGTTCATGGGCAGGGGCTTGTCTTCATCCCTTAAATATGTTAGACCACATACTAAATCTATGACTGCGTTTGGTGGACCGTGGTCATGGAAAGCTAGACATTTACTTTTGTTCTGTGGAAATCTTAGCATGTTCATCTTCACCCAAATGTTTGGGAACCTGAGAGCCTGTAAGTACTACATCTGTGACCTCTTCATCAAGTTCTGTCCTCGGACATGTTTGGACTCCTATCCTCTAGCTCGTACAACAAAGGGTGGCTGCGGGGTCCCAGAGACGTGTAAGCTGTTATGGCATGTGGTCTGCCTTCCTTTATTCTCAACATAGACTCTTCAGGGCTTTGTGCCTGGGCTCCCTGAGGGTTCGAGGGTTCCGGAAATGATGTGCAAACTCTAGCTATTGTGCATATGTGCATTGTCCTGGGATGGAAGCCTGGAATTTCTTACCGTATTTTCACAAGGACCCATGCATCCCCCTAAGTTCAGAACCACTGGTGTCAGGTTCCTTTAATGATCCTTCTAGTTAATTCCTGAAGTATCTCTCTCAAGTACAAGAGTAGAAAGGGTGGAGCAGGGATGCTACCTGAGCCCCGAGTTATGATGCCCCACCCCCACTTCTTCTAGCTTTTCAGGCCCTGAGCCCTCTCTGGGCCTCAGTTTCCTTTCTGACTCTCGGTGGTTGGATTAGATGGCTCCCTAGGCTTCTTGCACTGTCTGGTTGAACAGTTCATCACAGACAGGGAGGAGAGCTGACACAAATCAGCATGATCTTTCTGTGCATTTTGTGAAAGGGCGGTGTCTACCAAAATGTTGATTGTGTGTCTTATCCCAGCTTCTGTCTCTTGGAGCCACTAGTACATGTGACTTTTAAAGAATGCCAGTCATAATCAATGAATTCCAAGAAAAAGAATAGGTAACACAATAATCTGACTGCTTTCTGGTGCCAGGACAGGAAACACGCGATGTTCTCTTGAGAGGACAGAGGGAGAGATGGCTGCATTGGTCCTTTTGCACAGGGACTTGTGAGCCAGTAAGTCATCGGAGATGGAGACATTTATATACTCGAGGGAATGTTTGCAACAATGCTCGCACCGGCCATCAGAAATACGTGAAAAGAGACTCAACGTTTGGGAAGATTAATACTTTATTTTCTTTCTGGTGGTCAGCAATTTACTGCTAATCTTGAAACTGGAGAGCACAAACCATAGTAGAAAGTCGATGGAAGAGAGTTTAATGTGGCCCCTTGTGCCAGCCCTGAAGTATTGAAGTCGGCTGCTCTGAGTTCTGTCCAGGGCCCGTCAGTGAGTAATTCGATTAAGGGATTGGGCTGGGTCTTCGCAGAGCTGCAGATATCACCCATGAGGCCTCATTGGAGATGGATAGAAACTCAGGAGAGTTGATCATATGGGTCCGTATATTTAAAATGCACAAAGGATGAGCCCAGAAATTATCTGTCTGCCAACTTAACTTCTCTACCTGGAACAAATTATCCAAAAATCAATTTGCAAACACCTTTGAGATAACAAGGCCTTGAGTAATAACCTCCATGGCTTTGTAAAGAAAGCATCTAGCTTGACTAATCCGCTTAATTTCCTTCTCTGACCAAATGGCAGGCTATAATAGAGGCAATCTGAAGCTGTCCCTTAAGATTTGCTCTGAGCCACTCTGAGAAAATATTGTCCAACCCTGTCTCATAGCAATTATTCTGTTTGCGGAGAATCTTTGTTGTTGGGTAATTAATTAGAAAGAAAACATGGAATGAGTTTTATCTATCCGGGAGCGCTCACCTGAGTTCCAAACAGAAGCTCATACCTGCCTCAGTCACCTGAGTAACCCAGAGGTTCTCTTAAAGGTCTTGAATCTTGTACTCTACTCCCAAATGTCTCCTCAACCCTCCACTTCCTAAATCTGCTCATTAACTTGCTCATAACCCTTTACAGAAAATCCCATTCCTGGAAGTTGGTCCTAAGAAAACATGAGACAAGCAGGACTGGAGTCATTCCCACAAGGAAGTTCATTGGAGCATTAGTTACCATAGCAAAACCTAGAGCAACTCATGTGCCCAACAAATGGAGAATAGTTAGTGTGATCACCTGATGGGTTATTTGGTAGCTGTTAAAGACAGGGATGGTAAAATCCAGGTAGTATATATGCAAAGCCCTTAGGATATAATAAGTAAAAGGGAAAACAAATGTACATTGTATCTATGTGTTACTGGAACTGCATGAAAAAAAGTTTACGTATATGAATAGGAACTGGAATGGAACATAGAGAAATAAAAAAGGCTATTATGTTGGGTGGTAGGGAAGGGAACACATTTTCTCTTCTTACTTTCTTTATTGTTGTTCCACGGCTATTTTTGCAACAAATAAAAAATATATCCCCTTTGATTTTTACAAAATGGGCATCAAGAGGCAAACTGCCTCCCGAGGGGAGAGCTGGTCTCGGAAGGCATGAGGTTGTGGGTTCCATCCTGCCTATGCTCCATGATCTTGGTTCGGTGACCTGGTCACTTGAGTTCTAAGTTTTTTGCTTCCTATAAAAACAGAGGTGATAATGTCTGAAGAACTGTGCAAAGTAATGCATGTGAGGTTTTTTGGCCAATGAGAAGTACAAAACAAACGTCGATTTCTGTAGCTTTGCCAGTGGGAGGCCACTGCAAAGGCATGTTGAAAGCCTGGTCTCTTTATCTGAAGATACATACAGTGGCAATAGGTCACAAACCCTATATAGTAAAAGCCTAATATGCAACTAGACCTAACAGCGGAAAGACCGGTGGAATGACTGGTTGCTATGACACACACTGACCGCCAGGGAGCAGACACTCAATGCAGGAGCTGCCCCTAGCCCGCAGGCCCCAGGCCAGGCAAGTGGGGGCCCCCCATCACCCTGCTGGTTGTCCCATGGATCGGCCCTGGTCGCTGGCCAGGCCTAGGGACCTTACCTGTGCACAAATTTTGTGCACCGGGCCTCTAGAACAGTGTAACTTGGCATGACTCTTCCCTTTCCCTTGATTCCCACCAGGGCCACTGTGGCCAGTGGCACTCTCCTTGCTGGAGGAACCTGCTGGGATCGAGGGAGAAGCTGGATGCTTGCTGTGCCGTCACCCTTTCACTACTGAGGCTCAAGTCACTCGCAGGGAGAACTTCCGCTAGGAATCTCTGTGTTCCTGTAAAAGAAATGTGTGTAAACCTCAGACAACCCTGGGTTTTGAACCAAAGTCTGCTTCAGTAAAGGCAGGCTCTCATTGGAGGATTGAAAGCGGAATATTAACCCAGATGGCTTTGCTGTGTTCTGGAAAGACCCTTCCCTCACAAGCGCCCTCTCCCTTTTCTTTCTTAAATGAAAGACCTAGGGGAGGTATGACATGTAGTTAGTGAAGAAATACTGATTCAGGTACTTACATATAAAAAAGTAAAAATCATAGTAAGACCGAGATTCTGTCTCTAACTATATCCCTGAGATGTCCCAGCTCTGAATGCAACTCAAGAAATTAAAAGAACTCAGTGTTTACTTTTTTTTTTTTTTTTTGCAAATCACATTATGTCTATGATCTCATTCCCCCCTCCAACTATTCAATGGGGTTAAAGAGGGATTTGGGCTGTTTTATGGCTCTGTCTGGAATCCTGTCCCTTGCGTGCTTGGGTTTTGTTCTGTAACCATGAGAGTCTTATGTCCTTTTCTGACCATTTGTCTTTCAGAGCCTCCCACACCTATTGCCCCCCCAGAGCTGCTGGCTGTGGGGGCCACGTACCTATGGATCAAGCCGAACGCCAACTCCATCATTGGGGACGGCCCCATCATCCTGAAGGAGGTGGAGTACCGCACCACCACGGGCACCTGGGCCGAGACCCACATCGTGGACTCGCCCAACTATAAGCTGTGGCATCTGGACCCGGATGTGGAGTATGAGATCCGGGTTCTACTCACAAGACCAGGAGAGGGGGGCACAGGGCCCCCGGGGCCTCCACTCACCACCAGGACCAAGTGTGCAGGTAAGAGCCTCCGTCCTGGCTTCATTTGGGGAGGCTGGGCAGATCTTCCTCTGTGACAATCACGCCTAAACTTCTCGGTGTGAGCCTGCGTCCTGTTGGGGAGAAAAACAGTCAGGGTGTTGGTGTAGCCTTAGAGGACCTCCTGGCTTTGGTGACATCTGTGCAGACCTCCTGGCTCTGACAGACTCTGGCCGTGTCTGGTTCTGACAGTGTTGCCAATGCGAGGCTAGTTTGAGCATCACTGTCAGAGGCCTCCTGTCGTCGTGTCTCTAAGGGCTCCGGGCTCTGACCGTGACCCCTGAAGGTCTCATTTGGACTTTACTCTGAGTGCTTCCAGTTCCTGTTGTGTTTCTGATTGAAGCTGTGTCCCTGAGGATCCCTGGGCTGGGCCTCTGACCCTAATGAGTTCTTGATTTTGACCATTCATCTGGGGGTCCCTGGCCCCATGTTCCTGGGGGTCCTTGGCTCCACCTGTTTCTCTGAGGTTCCTGCATGTTGCTTACCGGTGTGCTGGCTGGGACTATGTCTTGGGGGAGGACCGTTTGGATCCAGCTGTGTCCCTGAGGGCTCCGGGCTGCTCTGCTGTTTCTAATAAGGGGTGTTGGCCGAGATTCTGTCTCTAACTATATCCCTGAGATGTCCCAGCTCTGAATGCAACTCAAGAAATTAAAAGAACTCAGTGTTTAATTTTTTTTGGCAAATCACATTATTTCTATTATCTCATTCCCCCCTGTAACTATTCAGTATACGTATTTTTATCGCACATATATGAGAATGAATAGAGACTCAATATTTTTAAACTTTGTGCTCCAAGTTATAGAATTGGCCAGTGGCAGCCAGCATTTGCACCTGACTCCAATGCCCTTGGTCATTGGGTGCAGCATGGTGAATAAGCAGAGAGGTGTGTGCCAGTTGTGAGGTACAAACAGTTGGGGGTGTTTCTGGGAGGTCAGGGAAGCCATGGCACGGGCTGCTGGCTTCCAGGGGAAAAGGCGTCACTGTTGGCTTCGGGGTGGGGAGAGAAAGACATGCCAGCACAGTGCCTACCATGGAACAAAAAGCCAAGTAATGCAGTCCGTTCTGCTACAGTGTGACATGCGTGTTCTTAAAAATCATTGCACTATGCAAAGCCATGCAATAAAAATAAATGGGCTTGTGAGTCATGACACACGTACTTGTCATCAGTGTCACCTTAAAAAAAAGAGAGAGAAACCTAGTAAAACTGGTGGCACAATTTTACACACGTTAATGGCCAGGGTATACATAAAAACTGCAGCACATGTGGGGTGTTGGCTTGGAAAGTCCTGACATTTGCTTGTGGAAGTGGGCGTCAGAAAGGTTGCAGCCTGAAAGGCAATTTGAGATGGTGAGGAGGGCGTCTGAAAGTGCTGGAGCGTGATACACCAGGTGTGGCTGGATGTGGCTCATCACGCCGGCGGCGAGCTGAGGGAGCAGGGAGATACTGCAGGTGGGTGCTCCGTGTGGATTCCTATGCGGCTCAGTTCAGTTGGGTACAGTTTTCCGCTTCACTCATGTGTCTGCATACAAATGTGAAATTTGCATTATGCTCAAATTGTTTCCTAACATGTCAGTCATGATGGAACACATCCGCATTGCCAAGATAAGAGTTCCAGAGGAATTGACTAGAACCATTTTCAAGTATCTCAGTCGTGTATCTTGGCTCTATGTGACCCAAAGTTCATATTGCCATTGCTTGGGAATAGTCCTTTGAAAGTTATTGAACCACTGTGATGAATGGGAGTGCCGTTTTCTTGATTATTTTCAAAACTGGGCCTTTGGTAAAATTCCTCGTTGAAACCTGATTATGAAACTTACTACTTTGAAAGGACATGGGATATGTTATTAAGTCAGGTAATGCCTTATCTCAGCTTTGCAATTCAATATCCATCCATAAAAATAATTGATTCTATCCTGCCAATGAGACTTCCCTCTTTCCACAGGGTAAATCTAAGGGTTTCCAAGGTTTTTGATCTCTATAAATGATATTCAGAGTACTGTTAGGAGCCCCCATGGACTTATTGCTGATGATCATATAATACAGTTTGAAATTCAATCGCAAGATGATCATCTCAATGAAAATTTACAGTCTATTGAAAATTGTTGCCATGACCGTGCAATGGATTTTGCATGTTAAAAACACAATTGTCTGACTATCACTATAAAAATTATGAGTTGAAATGCTGTTTATAGCTTTATATTTTAAAAAAGTGTTGTTTAAGTAAGTTATGACTAAAATCTTCAATAACCCACATTTTCTAAAATGTGTCATTAAGAAGATAATCTTTCCCACAGTTCCACTGATGATAGAATGTTCTTTGCCTCGTAATTAATTTTTAAGAGAATTCCAAGGTTGATATTCATTTATGGGTTAGTAGTCTGAGTCCTCCTACCCTTTCCCTATTCATTATTAATAGCACTGAAAACATACTCTTTTTTTTTTTTTTTTTACAAAATAGAAAACGAGAGAGTGTGAAGGGTGGAAGGTATAATTTCTGCCCAGAGGAATTTTCAGGCTGGGTTTAGATTCCAACAAAACAGCATAAAGGGTAAAACATAAACATAAAGTCAAGTATTGAAATACCAAACTTCATGGAGGAAAACAAGGCTGGTGTGGAAAGAGCAATGCTCTTAGAATGATCTGGAGCAGTGGTTTTCAAAGTGTGGTCTCCAGGCCCCCTGCATTGGCACCCCTGGGAATGTGTTAGAAAGGCAAATTCTCAGGCCCCACCCCCCTGACCTAATGATTCAGAAATTCTTAGATTGGGGCCCAGAGATCTATGCTTTAAGGAGCCCTCTGGGTGATGCTGATACACACCCACATTTAAGAAATACTCATAGACTGTGACACACCAACATGCCACTTTCAGAATGCCCATTTTAATGCTTGATCCTTGAGGCATCAGTGAGAGGTAGATAGGAGGAAAACTTAGGCTCAGAGTGATCAAACCAAGGTTACAGATCAATTCAGAGCTTAGAGCTAAATCTCTTGACCTGGGGAACTCCCCAGTATGTGGACTGATGTAGCTTCCTCTGCAAGTGTCTGCTGGCGTGTGGGATTGGGTGATAGGGAGACTGGTCACTATGGAGACCAGTTGAGAATGAATGGCTGCCATGCCCTGTCTCAGTAGTGCTTTTCATCAGACATCTACTGAGTCACTTCCATGTGCCAGACTCTGTACTAGGCACTGAGGGCAGAGGCTGGCCTAGGAAGGACATGCTAAAAGTAGGCAGAGGCACATAGCAAAAATGTACAAGTTCAGGTATAGCTCAGTAAGATACCAGAGGGCCCAGTCAGCAAGGGTAGGTGGGGAGGTATTATGTGTATTCCTATGTGTCTCAGTTCAGATGGGTGCAGTTTTCTGCTTCACTCCTGTGTCTGCATACAAATGTGAAATTTGTGTTATGCTCAAATTGTTTCCTAATGTCAGTCATGATGGAACACATCCACATGACAGGGCACTGAGCAGGTAAACCATCAGGGCACTGGCAAGGTCCACCCCTTAAGTGTAGATATCATCAGTAAGAGTTTGGTGGAGCCATTTTCTGAGGTGGAAAACACAAAAGATGGGCTGGGGAAAGGCAGTAGGTTTAGGTCTGCATGCCTTGTGTGTGAGGTGAAGACGTACAACTGGTGATGCTGTATGTAAACCTGGAGCTCAGGGGAGACCAGCGGATTACCTCTCCCTCTGCCGTGAGAGGCGCCTGATTGCACCTGGATTTTAGAATCAAAGGGACTTCTTAGCACCAATGAAAGCAATTTAATTCTCTTTCTTCATGCTGTTCTCTTGAGATGCCCCATTCACTTGCTTTTTTCATTCATCATTTTGTTCCTTTTGCTCCATTTAATCATTCACCATCCTTCCTGAGATACAGGCCCGGGGAGCAAATGTGATAATGTACATCAAAGTGCTTTGGAAAGCTCAAAATACTCTTCAGATGCTTATAATGAAACCAATCATCATTATTTGTTGCTGCTGCTGTTACGCATGTTATGATTATGAATCATCACATCAATGCAGGAAGTCTTACTTGTCCATTTCTCTGGGCTGACTGGCTTTTGGAAGGGTGGACATATTCTTTTGTTGTTCTTCATCCAATGGGAAATCCCACTTCCAAACATGATGATCATACTGCTGTATGGACTCTCAGAGGTTTTCTTGTCTACAACAGTGGGTGGCTTCCTCTGGCACAGCCCCAACAGCAGACATGCAGTGATATGAGTTGGGCCTAGGAGGCCTGTTTGGTGCCCACGCAGCCTCACTTTGAATGCTGCCTCTGATGGGAAGTTCACACTCTTCCATGGCAGTCTATCTCACTGCTGGGATCCGGGGTGGTTACTAGTATTCTCTACCCAGTATTAGCCTGGTTATGATGCACTTCTAAATGGGGTCCTTTGTAAGAGCAGAGAATCTTCATTAGGTTTAAAAGAGTTGGAGCAGCAGAGGTAGATGGGCAGAAAACTTAGGTTCAGAATTATCATCCATTTGGAGCCCACCAGGAGAACCAAGGACAATGACATTGAGAATGGGGACCAAGCCAGTAAGTAGAGAAGGCAGGTGAAATAAGAGGTGCAGATACAACATTGGTCCAGCTTGTCTCTGCATCACCCAGCATCAGGCAGAGAAACTCTCCCTCATTGTAACCTAAATTTGTCTCCATGCAACACTCACTTATGGATCCTGGTTTTGCTCTCAGGGGACATATTCCTCCTTATCTCCAAAACAGGTCTTTAGCCACCTAAAGTGGTATCAATCTCCAGAAAGCTCTTCCCTTCATCCCCCAGAGTCCTGCTTGAGCCAGAATCTGGGCAGCAGTCTTTTCATCATAGTTACGGAGTCACCAAGCAACAATCCAGCAAATCAAGTGGTCATATATCCCCCACGATTGCTTACTCCTGGGAATGTCGGGCCCAGTGCCTGGGAGCCCATTTCCTTGCGATCTCATGGTGTTCAGGGTCTCCACGGTAAGAGTGACTGTGT